ACTTAAAACTGTAATGAAAAATGCGGAAATAAAATAAGTAGTCACAGGTATTCTTAATTATAGCCAAAAGAATAAGTGGCACAGAAATTGTTATTTATATGTATTTTTTAATCGCATTCAAAATCTGCCAAAAGAGAAATTGATGTCAATATTGAGATGTATATGAATGATTAAATGAAATGAAAAATCAGTGTACTATAAATATGTAATGTGGATTAATAGAATGACTTTATACAAACTCTTCATTCCATGAGTCTCTGAATACGGTGACATAATACAGGGCAAAATGTGTACCCATTGTAGTGAGTTGTTTATACTGTTTGTCTTGAAAGATGACTATATGACTTAAACTCCATTCAGTTAATAAATTAAATCTGATTTAAATTAACCATTGGAGGGTAAAGGTTCCTTATTTGATCATAATTTTTTGTATCAATAACTAAATCAAATCTATCAAGCAAACTGAAAATGTCATGTGTCAAGCGGTAAACGATGAACAAACTTTGCTCAAGCGCAAAAATGAAAAAGAATGGCATCCATTTTGTCTGCCTTGTTGGAGACTGGTACCATCCTTCCTGCAAATGGCAGTGGTTATGTATAGTCATGACAGGTTTGAATATGGGTGGAGTTACCCAACATCATGTTAATTTGAACTATTTGTCTTCTCGACAAAATGTTTTGATTGGCTCATTCAAGCCGGTGATTACAGCATAATGAAGCTGCACCCATTTTAGGCTTCATGAAACCTCAAGCTTCCATGACTAGTCCTGTGTTCCTTATCACCACCAAAGTCAACATTGCTTATCTTCTGTTTACTGGAAATGTTTCTACCTTTCAGTCAGTTTCGATCATTCTTTAAACATATGTCTTCTGAAAGTATTTCCTTACTTGAGTAAGAATTCACTACACACTAAATGTTTTATTCAATGTTTTGTTCAATGTTTTATTTCATAACACAACGATCTCCAAGTTTGGCTTTATGGTTCTGATTTGAGTACACCATTCAATGCTTGTACAAAAGACTTGACCTTCAAAAAAAGTTGCTGTATGCACAAAAGAAATTCTGAATAATATATCTATTTTTCCATGATCCGATCGACAAAGGGATGAAAATTGGTTTGTGACTATATACGACACTTTCAAAGCTCTGAATTATCTCAGGTTGAATTGCAAGACCCGCCAGACTGTACAGTTCTGAGAACATTTTTTTTTTTAATTCAAGGACACATACAATACACAAAAAGGTGATCTGCAGTCTAACTGTATTTCGGTGTGTAGATTTTGTATGTATTCTACTACCTCTTTAATTGTCAGTTAGGTTACATAAATGAACCTCTTGGGCTACAATGCAGTTTTTGAAAAGAGAAAGAAATTTAGATGGTATCTTTTAGCGAGTATCTGTATTTTGAAATGGTGTTGATGACAGAAACTTCACCCATTTGGAAAAACATCTAATATGTTTCAATAATTGTGTTACAGAATCTGGTAAGACCTCACCCTTTAAAATAGTCATACGCAGGTCGTTCTGTTAGTGTTCATTAGATAGTCCTCTCGCTCCTTAGATCATTGGAATAGCTGGGAAACTCTTTATGAAGCGACGTCTTCCTACCTGGCAGCCCGAGGATGGTGAAGTACGGCCTGCATTCTGTGAAGCCCGAGCTCTGTCTCACGCAGGACCGCCAGAGGCCATAGTAAGTGTAGACAGCCGTTACCGGGTTGCTGTACAGGTCCTGTGTGCTCCACTGGTCCATTACTGTTGCCGCAATGACCCCGGCAATCCCCAAGATGCTCAGCACAAACCCCATCACTTGGCACATAGTGACCGCCATGGCTACCGCTCAACGCTCTGACTTAGGGGTACTTAAGATCTTGCTGTATCTCGGTCAATCACTACTGCATGTAGCTACTGGAAAGTCTCTAACTGCTAGGCTTGACCTCCTTCTGATTTTCTGTGTTTGGATCAGATATCTTTGTCGTTTGGTAGGTCTACAATACACCTCTATGGCTCTGTGTTTGCATTGGGCCTTTTCATTCGATGTTGGGCGGGACTTCAGCGAGTGGGTAACGATAAAGGGTGGGGGAGAGGTGAGGTGAGGGGAATAAATAAATACGAAACTCAAAGTGGATTTTCACTGGCTTATGCAATACTTTGATAAGGCTGTGTTTCGATACACAATCAAAAGAAGTTTCGCTTGGATGTTTTTTTTTTTGTTTTTTATAATTCTGACCTCCAAATATCTCTGCAGTCTAACACAACTATTCGCCATTGAGTTTTGTTGACCGTGTAAAAAAGAATGAATAACTACAGAAGTAAATAAACCTTCATTTAAGCTTATTCTATATTTCATGCAATATATATTTGAGATGTGTCTGAACTGAGTACCAACAGATACACTTTTAATTGGATACAGCTACAGAATTGTGATAACTATTCTAGCGTTGTAACAAGTCATGGTGGTTTTAGAAGTAAAATGTAGGATCAAACTTCCTGACTTCATTTGTAACCAACACTGCCGTAGTTTTCTGTCAGTCCTCCTGCTTGTCATTCTGTTACAAATATCATCTCATTTGAATTACCTCAAAGTCTGTAAGCATGTGGACTGCCTTTGAAGTACGTCTGTGCCAACTCTTCATCATGTCCTCTTCATCTTACAGTGGAGATCACGACCTGCGAATGATGGAGTTCCATCTGCGATTTCCATAGTCCAGAGATACCAAGCTTTAAGGTTTTTCACATATATGTTATCTTTTATGCTATACCAGCCTTTCTGAATGTATTATTTCCTTGAATTAAATGCATACAAGACTCAACAAGATGCAGGACTTCCTGCAACCAATGCAGCCACCAGCCCGGGGTCAAGTATGTATGTCAAATGTTTTGTGGCCGTTCAACTGCATTAAGATTCATGATTTGTTATTGTTATGTCTCATATACAGGTATAAGAGAGTAAAAAGCTTTGGTTTCAGCTCCAAGACCGTACAGTATAGGAAAAATATACTAAATATAAATATAAAGAAATATAACTAAACGAAACCTAATATAAATAAAATAAAGAATAAAATAAGGAAGGAGCATAATAATAGCATAAAAATATTTGGGCAGAAAAATTATTTGTAAATAAAAATATTTTGTTTATTTTATTTATTTTAAAATAATGTAGCTCAGAATATTTGATTTATTGCAAAGCAATCAAATGACAGATATTTGACACAAGATTCCTAAAACATTTGTCATTTGTGACAACGCCAGTGGTTCACCCCTTGTCAGCCCTAGCTTTCACAAGATCGTTGACACCTGAGCACTAATTATAAACTCATTTCCTTTTGTGCCACTACTCACCAGCAATCAGTTTCATGTGCTGTATTGCTTGACTGGATCCTTAAGTTGTACACCTGGTAGTGATTGTCTTTTGTTGTGTATTTAAGCTCCCTGGTTCCGCTCATTCTCTTAGAAGCATTGTTTGTGTTAGCTTGGCTGTTTGTACGTTTCTTCCTATAATATTTGTCTAATTTGCCTGTATCTACCTCCTGTTTCTTACATTTGATTTGATAAGTTTATCGCAAATTCTTTCAGTAGATTTAATCCATATTGTCCATGCATGGTATTGAAACTGATATAGTTGAAATTGATACTTTTCACAGCCATATTATCTTAGATATAACTGACTCTAACTTAGGGGAAGGGGATGGGGGTATAGTATTGAGAAATAGATCGTTGATAAATAGTAATTAATATCTGACTATAAAAATTAAGCCTTATTTGTTGTGTTACCTTCAAACAATAAAAATTGTTCAAATTAATCACTACCAATCCACAACTGTCCCACTCCAAGGCATGATGTTAATTTTCACTTAAAATTATCTCAATCTTGTTGATTCAACATAATTGAATTTAGTTGTTTTTCATTTATGTGAATTTAAGGACAATGCACAAGATTATATCATGCACACATTGAAACAGAATTTATGTAATATAAAATCAAAATACTTAGTTCATTGCACATCTCTTCTCCCAGCTAATCATATTGCATAGATTGAATGCAACTAAGTAACAGAATTAAGGTGTTTGTACACTAAATAATCAAGCATAGTGAAAGACTCGCCTACAGAACACATTCACAGCACACTTATTCTACAAAAGCCTTGTTACTACTAAAGCAGTTGTTCAAATACATTAGTGTGTCAAACGTCTGATCTGAAAGGGAGCCGCGGTCTGATCTAAAAATACGACCACTGATGCTGAACACACGTTCCACAGATCCAGATGATGCAGGGATATACTATTAGGCCTTGATATTCCCTCAGCTGAGAACAGGTGGAGCCCACACAAAAGTTGCTACAGCTTTTCAAGAGCAGAGATGGAGTCAAAACATATAGGAACATGTATTTTACAGCTAGTTCAGGAGACGCTATCTTATTTGATGAAATTATTTGAAGTGTTTGAGCAAAGTATCTGGAAGCAACTAATTTTTCAGCTTGGATTTATTTAGTAAAAATACTGTTTTAATCGGTTATTTGAATTATAAAAGTATTTTCTTTTTCAAGACAATATTTGGAAATACCTCGAATAAAAGTAATTTGTTTGGCCCAATTTATTTGCAAATAATTCAAATACACGAAGCAAATATTTCAAATAAAAATATGCAATTAGTATCTGTATTTGACTCAGGTCTGGCAGCCGCACACCTTAAATACACAAGAGCACTGGTAGCTGATAACTGCAGATAAATAAATACTATTCACCGCCCTGAAAAACGGACACATGACAACCCATAACTTTACATGGCAAAAGGAAATAATGTGTGTATTTCAGGGAGACTGAAAGCTGCTAGCCAAGAACAGTGCTCTGTGGAGAAGCGTGAAATTTCTTCAAAAGAAATGATCCTTTCAATGTGACAATTAAATAACTGGCACTTTCACACAAAGCAACATACAATTATTTTAACTCCCCTATAGGGGCAAGGTGGGAATAAGGGCCAACAGCCAAATTAGTTTTGATGTGCCGTCAGTGGGATTTGAACCACTAACCTTCAGAATTTTAATCCCAGACTTTAACCACTAGGCTAAGGCAATCTAAAGACACCTATTCTTTTGGTAGATTTTATATATCCTATTTTTATGACTGTTAATGCCTGAGTAAAAAGTAATGGACTGGTGTTACCTCTGTTTCTAGCCAGTAACACTAGCTTTCCTTTACTGTTTGTTTGATTCATATTAGTGATCACCATTTCATGAGAGCAAAATGTGAATGAGTGAAGGTAGCCTTTGTAATATGTGCCTTCATGGTGCCTAACATGTGAGGAATTGATTATAAATTGATTATAAATGCTTCAGGGTGACATGTGTCGGCACGTTCATTTCACATTATATTTAAATTCTGATCCCAGGCTAAGTTAATTCATTTATTCAATATTTATTTTCTAGTGGCTTTTTCAACTAATAAAGAACTGCACAGTTTGCTCATTCTAAACTGTTTGTCATAAATTAAACTCAACTATTACTGGGCTTTTTTATCATTTGTTTGATGGTGTGTGTGGGCGAAACCAGGTCTTGTGGCCACTCCCTCGGCTCCTTCAAAAACCTCAAAGTATGGCACAGTCCATCTTCCACATACTGTATTTTATAAGTACTGAATGTAAATAAAATTACATAATTGTCAAATTATTTTTATACATATTTTTATATACATGCTTTCAAATGAGTTTTATTCCCATAGGTGATCTTTAGATTAATATAAAACATATGTCATCTAAAGTGTACAACTGTTTAATGTCATAAATGTTCTGACTGCGTTTTTGTCCCGTCATATGTTTGCAGGCTTGAGTTGGTGTTGATGGATGTGTTTTTAACATCAGCTGCCCTTTAGCTGTATCTCTTGGAAAATACTGTCGGCCCACTTTATGGTTTCAGGACCCTTGCGGCTGTGCAAAAACCACGGATGCTCAGGGCGCTTATATAAAAGCATGTAATTTTACCCTTCATATAAGTATTCATAACTTAAAACCCCACGTATATGTACTACTAACAACTGCTAAACCCACGTAAATCATACAGACAACAGTATTCTAGCACACGCTGCGCGCGTTAATTTCAAATGTTGTTTTTCGAGAATATTCTGGATTTTTTGCAAATATTTTCAAACAGTGGTTGGTCAAAACCGCGGATGCCAAACCTGCAGATAAGGCGGGCCGATTTTTGTTTTCTTGGCCTCAGTAGAACTTCCTGCTTTCGGGAGGGTTACATAAATCTTTGCTTCAATTAACCACACTCAAATCTTCGTTGGGATCTCCTGTCCATCAGCGAAGGCACATAGTATATTTTGAGATGGCAAAAACAATTTATATATGTTTATTTGTTTCAGATAAGCTGAAAACATTATCCTAGAAAGACAGAATAATATACAGACTAGGAAACATGCATGGCCTGGTACTTCCAGTGTCGTATGACATGGCGATGGGTGGTCCTCGAAAGGAGCACATTTGTCAGCTGACATGTATGCAGTTTCTGACTGAAGAGCTCAACTTAAACTGCTTTATAATTCTTCACAGCTAGTGAATCAATTCATCCATTAATGTCTAACAAAATAATAAGAAATGTGTGCCATATTGCATATGAGTAGTTACTGTTGTTTTTGTCACCCTTTTGCAAAAAACCTTGCTGGCTACCATTCTGCCAGCAATTATATTCTGTACGTAATAAATAAGCATATATATTCAGATGGCCACAAAAAAAAACTCCAATAAAGTACACTGAGAAAATACTCTGGTTCAAAGTCTTGACTGATGGTATAGAATTAGCTGCCTCCTAGCTAACAATCCAATTACTTAAGTATTACCTTTTCTGTTGTATTTTACCATTTGTGTTCTTAAGCACAAGCAAGAGAGGAAGACAGGAAGAGACATGCACCAAGTCACACACTTAACTCTCCATTTCTTTGAATATTTATGATATGGCATAATTACTGTGCCACCAGTCCTGATTTCTGAAACAACATTTAAGTCAGACTGGAGCGAAACACAAATTCCACTCCACTTCACTTCCTGCACACTGTTTACTCGCTTCACTGCCCCAAAGACCATTGGAACATTCCCCGAAGCACGGAGAATACCAGTTGTTGCATAATCCTCCACAATTTTGTTTTTACTCAGGTGTAAAATTTAAGTATAGTTTCCCAACCATATTGCTGGACAATTACAACCAGTGCATATCAGTTATTTATCAATATCATATCTTTCTGCTATACATAATGTATGTTGGTTTAACATCATTAATGCAGGGTGAATCGTTCAGCATAAATGTGGTTATTTGCAAGAATTCAGAGTATTTTTTGGGTTAGCTTACCATAAATGACAAAATCAACAACGAATCAATTCATTTGATTGCATGAGTACATTTACGGACCTAAAAAATACAATTTGCTTTCTGGAACCATACTCAGTCCAAATACTACTGTATGTACGTATGTATGTATGTATGTATACATATATGTTTGCCTATGGAAATTATGTCACTAATGTCAAACAAATATTAACAGTTTGAGATTGAAGCAATAGAATCAAATTGCCAATAATACATCCTCCTTTATAAAATTTATTTTATGCTGTTTTTGAAAACATATAAATGTCTGATTTGAAAATGTAAACAAGCAATAACATTGACAGTGAGAATAATAATAACTAGGATTACATTTCTGTGTTCTTCTTAAAAGAGAGAGAACAGGTAAGGCAACAATGTCTACTGATAGGCAGAGATGAAGGACAGTTCATCTTCTGTTGTAGTATATCGAGAAGGTTTCAACAGTCTCAGCCTATTGGAGCTCCTTCTTGAAGTTGTTAAGCTGTGTAGCTTTGTTGAAGTGGATTGATTATTCTTCTTTTGGTAAAGATAAGAAACATGTTGCATTTGACATATAATACATTTGTATAACAAAAATATACTTCAGGAATATTAGTGTAGACTCATTTTGACACAGATGTGTAGACTCTGACCCAAGTATAGAAGAACGATGTATTTCAACGTTGGACTGGGAGCTGGGCTTGTAGCTCAGAGGTTACAGTGTAGTATAATGGTTAGGGAGCTGGGCTTGTAGCTCAGAGGTTACAGTGTAGTATAATGGTTAGGGGGCTGGGCTTGTAGCTCAGAGGTTACAGCGTAGTATAATGGTTAGGGAGCTGGGCTTGTAGCTCAGAGGTTACAGTGTAGTATAATGGTTAGGGAGCTGGGCTTGTAGCTCAGAGGTTACAGTGTAGTGTAATGGTTAGGGAGCTGGGCTTGTAGCTCAGAGGTTAAAGCGTAGTATAATGGTTTGGGAGCTGGGCTTGTAGCTCAGAGGTTACAGTGTAGTGTAATGGTTAGGGAACTGGGCTTGTAGCTCAGAGGTTACAGTGTAGTGTAATGGTTAGGGAGCTGGGCTTGCAGCTCAGAGGTTACAGTGTAGTATAATGGTTAGGGAGCTGGGCTTGTAGCTCAGAGGTTACAGTGTAGTATAATGGTTAGGGAGCTGGGCTTGTAGCTCAGAGGTTACAGTGTAGTGTAATGGTTAGGGAGCTGGGCTTGTAGCTCAGAGGTTACAGTGTAGTATAATGGTTAGGGAGCTGGGCTTGTAGCTCAGAGGTTACAGTGTAGTATAATGGTTAGGGAGCTGGGCTTGTAGCTCAGAGGTTACAGTGTAGTGTAATGGTTAGGGAGCTGGGCTTGTAGCTCAGAGGTTACAGTGTAGTATAATGGTTAGGGAGCTGGGCTTGTAGCTCAGAGGTTACAGTGTAGTATAATGGTTAGGGAGCTGGGCTTGTAGCTCAGAGGTTACAGTGTAGTGTAATGGTTAGGGAGCTAGGCTTGTAGCTCAGAGGTTACAGTGTAGTATAATGGTTAGGGAGCTGGGCTTGTAGCTCAGAGGTTACAGTGTAGTATAATGGTTAGGGAGCTGGACTTGTAGCTCAGAGGTTACAGTGTAGTGTAACGTTAGGGAGCTGGGCTTGTAGCTCAGAGGTTACAGTGTAGTATAATGGTTTGGGAGCTGGGCTTGTAGCTCAGAGGTTACAGTGTAGTGTAATGGTTAGGGAGCTGGGCTTGTAGCTCAGAGGTTACAGTGTCGTGTAATGGTTAGGGAGCTGGGCTTGTAGCTCAGAGGTTACAGTGTAGTATAATGGTTAGGAAGCTGGGCCTTTAGCTCAGAGGTTACAGTGTAGTATAATGGTTAGGGAGCTGGGCTTGTAGCTCAGCGGTTGCAGTGTAGTGGAATGGTTTTGGAGCTTGGCTTGTTGCTCCAAGCCTCAGGCTGCAGGTTTAGTTTCCAGGTAGGGCATTGCTGTCATACCCTTGAGCAAGGCACCAAGCCCAAGTTGCTTCAGTAAGTATCCAGCTGTATAAAAGGATAATAATTTAATTTTATTATCCATAACTATTATCTGTCTGATCCGTGAATAAAAGCATCTGCTAGATGTTGAGTTCACAGATTTTATAAAATATTTTGGTACAAAGAATTGGAAAACAATTTCACAGGGCCAATATCCATACACAGACTGAACACATAGGGTCTACGTCCCGTGATGAAAATTTGACATCTTCCTCAAACAGTCTCTGTCTGCCTCGAGATTTTACACAAATAGTGCAGCTCATACTAGCTCTCAGCACTTGCTATTTTTTGATAATTAAAAAAAGTCACTACGAATTTTGTGACTCACAGTAAAAATCTTCCACCAACTTCTGACAAGGTTCAGTTTGAGGTCTCCACACAACACTAGTCCTGAACTGAACTCAAATGGTTCAGGCAGATTTGAGCAAAAATCAGAGCAAGCACCAAGGTCAACCACAAGGTCATCTGCATGGAGGGTTGTTTTTGTTCAGTTAGGATAACTGAAAGCAGTTAGGTCTGGCCTAACCTGGAGTTGAGCTGACCTGGTGACTTAACATAGTGTGTGAGTGACGGCACCAGTTGTGTAGCTCAATAACTGACAACCCAGTCTCATAGGTGCTCTGTACAAAAAAGGCAAGCGTGGAGACAGTCCTCCCTGGCACCGTTCAGAGGGAAGCTGACAAACACACGAGAGCGTGAGCAAACACAGTTAAAA